GTGCAGGGTCTGCTGGCTGGGTGCTGGCAGGCTTGCACCTGGCACGGGCACCGTAGCCAGCCCGTGCCCCTTTAAGGGGTCCGGGGCCGGGAGGGGGGCAGACGAGTTTCCCTGGTGTTGGCCAGAGTGGCCACCAGGGAAACCTGGGGAGGGCTAGCCTCCCACTAGTTCGAATTAAGGGGCTACACACCCCTTAATTCGAACTAGTAAGTTCGAACTAGGCTTAATCCTCGTAAAATGAGGTTTTCCTAGTTCGAACTAAGCGCTCCGCTAGTTCGATTTAAATTCGAACTAGCGGAGCGCTAGTGTAGCGCCTATGAATGTTAGTTCGAACTAACGTCCGTTAGTTCGAACTAACATTGTAGTGTAGACATACCCAGAGAGAGACATAGCAAGCAGTATGACAGCGTGTGTCAAATCAATGTGGAAATGGGTGTTATCTTGCTAGAAATAATGCCAAAGCTTGAGAGAGAGAGAGAGAGAGAGAGAGAGATAAGAAACAAAGAAAGATACATCTGGGAGCAGCACTCCAGCAGAGGAAATGAAGGGAAAATCTAAATCTTCCTCCAGAAATGATACAGGTGGCTCACAGGAAGCCTGAGAAGAAAGGAGCCAGAGTTACTGGGAAAGAGATGAGAATGGCAGTCTTGGAGTGTTTGGTTACATAGTACAGAGAAGAGGAGATAGTGAAAACAAGTGAGAAATGACATTTCACATGCAAGAGAAAGACCAAAGAGAAGTCAGTCTCATTTTAAGATTATCTTGGTAGCTCATGGACAGCACAAAGCTACCACCAGTAACATCTGATCACCAAGCAACACAACCCCATGTGCTAAACACAGAGGAAGAAAAAGGGTGAGAACTTTGGACGTTGTGGTCCCCTACCTGAGATGACCTAGCCCTCCTCCTCCATGTGATGCTATAGGGAACAGCCTGACTCTCAATCACACAGCCACAGTTCATGGACTGCACAGCACTGAGGACTTGTCCACCTCCTTCCACCTGTAAGAGAACTAAGATGGGTGTAAAGGTCAAAGGCCTACAATAAGGGCTGCATTAATTTAAGGTTGAAAGAAGAGATAAGGAATGGTACCTGGATCCAGCACCACTGTTATATGCTTCAGGCACTCCTCTGGTCGTTGGGCCTTCAGCATGTTGGCAAGAGCCTTCTTCCGCTCTCGCTCCTGCTCCTGCTGTTCCTTCTGGGCTTCCCGCTCTCTCCTCCTCTGCAACACAGCCCTACGAGCCCTGTCTCTCTCTTCCTGGCTGTGTTTTAACTTCTTCTGCTGAGGGGACATTTCTGAACTTGCCTCTGCCACCAGAGACCGTCTATCCTGGACTGGAGAGTGTGACAGATGAACTGGAGACTGGTGCAAAGGCACCGTCTCGGAATCTTTTGTGGCATCATCTTGGTCACAATCTGACATTTCCCATGATAAGACAGGGGCTCTTGTCTGGGTAACAGAGGCCTTGGGCAGCAACTGTTCTCTGCAATGAGTCACCCCTCGTTCATTGCAATGACGGAGAACAGTACTTTTAGCTTTACACACCGCATCACAGCTACTCAGCTGCTGAGCCTCAGAAAGCAAAATGCTAGTTTTGGAGGACTTGCTGTTCCCCAATTTCCCCCTCAGTCTTTCAGACAGGGGTATGATCTCCTCTTCCTCCTCGCTTTCACTGCCTAGCCTGGCCGTCACACCCTTACAAGAGCTAGCTCTGTCCGAATCCTGGAGTTTTCTCCACCCTGGCGAAGGAGCAGAGGATTCCTCAGAGTCAGAGCTGCAGAGCACCACAACCCTCTCCTTGGAAGGAGGCTGGCTCTGGCTGCGGCGGCGGCGGCTGCTTTCGACGGCAGGAGGCTGTTGCTTTAGGAAAGTGAACTTTGGCAGCAGGTCCTCGGCCTCGCTCTCGTCCGACTCCAGGGACATGGCAGTTTTCTCCACCCTGGCGAAGGAGCAGAGGATTCCTCAGAGTCAGAGCTGCAGAGCACCACAACCCTCTCCTTGGAAGGAGGCTGGCTCTGGCTGCGGCGGCGGCGGCTGCTTTCGACGGCAGGAGGCTGTTGCTTTAGGAAAGTGAACTTTGGCAGCAGGTCCTCGGCCTCGCTCTCGTCCGACTCCAGGGACATGGCAGCCCCTCACTGGCGCCTGAAGAGCAACGGGCAGCAGAGCCCCGAGGCGCGGCTGCAGACCGGCCCCGTGCGCCTCCTGGCCGCTCCCTAAGCCCCCGGAACAGCCTCGCTCTGCCGCGCCCCAGAGAGGGGACCCGCTCTCGTGCGCCGGGG